GCCCCATCAAGGAAACAGGGGAAATTTCAAGCGACTGCATCTGTATGTGAAGACGTGAACACATGAACATATCCAGAGCTACTCTCAAGAGAACACTTAATGATCATTTTATAATTTTATTTAAAAGAATAATCATCAAATACACTAACTGAAAACTCATAAGTGTTTAGTACAAGTGGACACATTCTCTCACCTCAGCGGTCAAGATTGAGCCCTGAAAATCTCAACATGCTTACATTTCTTCATCATAATCTGACCTGAAAAAAAGCAAAGAAATGCATGCTGCTATGATAATCTCAGGAAAATATTAACAAACATGACCCTGCACATATTGCTCTCCCATATATGCTGTTAAAGAGGAAGGACAGTTTGATTTATTCTTGTCTAATATAAAGAGAAATAACTTATTCCTTATTTTGTTCAAATGGGAGATGCGCAGCTTTATTTTATTAATTTTCCCCCCAAAAGTTAGACTCATACTTCCATAAGTTTTTTTTATTTTCATTAAAAAAAAGTTTGTTACAATAAACCATGTTCAACCAAAAACCATATCTCTTTTTATTCATGTATGGGTCATTGTAGCTGATGATTATACTAATAATAATGATAGTTTAATACCGTATACCACGAAACCGTGATATTTTCTGAGACGATTATCATACCGTGAAAATCTCATACCGTTACAACCCTACACCCAGATATATAAAATTTCCTTGCACTGTGGTTGAACGGGCAAATATTAAAGCGCAATTTGCAGCGATGTCTGGTTTTCCCAATGTAATTGAAGCTATCGACTGCGCGCGCATTGCTATAAAGTCACCTTCAGAGAACGAATTCGCTTATGTAAATAGAAAGCACTTTCACTCTATTAATGTACTCTATTAATGCACTGGGGGCACCTCTTGTACTATTGTCTGTAAGAATAAACAAACAGAATAAACGAAAGTAACACCGCATCTGCGCCCTACGTGTTATTCATAAACATGCAAGTAATTCAAACAAGTATGGTACGAGAAAAACTCACCCGCGATGACATCGGCGTCCCCCAATAAAAGTGTGTCCCCAATCATCGCAGCAACTAGTTGCTCAAAGGGTGTGAGACCGGGAATTCCGCTACATTCGGCCACCTGTGCTGTTAAGACTCTTACGGTGAGCGGCCGCTCGTTTTTTCACGTCGATTTTAATGTCCGACCACTTTTTTTTAATTTCAGCCACCGTGCGAATTTCGGGACCAACACTTTTAACTGACTCCGCCACGCTGGGCCACTCCGTCAACTTTCGTTTATTGCTGATGCCACTTATACCACCAAATAATATCACTTTTCTTTTCTCGATTTCTGTTAACATGACCTCCACTTCGCACTCGCTGAAATACTTCTTTTTCCCTCGTGGTTTGTCCATTGTTGTTTAAGAAAAACATAGAACAAAGCGGGCATTTATACAGATTTTCATATTCAAATATACATAATTATTGGCGGGTCGGGGGGGTGGCTGTGGGCTCGTTCACGTACGTAAAATTTCATGCTCATTGGGATTTATAAAGGGAATGTGCGTAGATCTGTGCTTACGCACAGTTTTATGCATCTGGATTTTTTCTTGCTTACGCACATTCCTAGTTTTGTCCGTGCGCCTTGTTTTAGTGTGAATTCTACGCACGTCGTTATACATGAGGCCCCTGGTGCGGTGGAAAAACGCAATAAGTTAAAAATGCCCTCACAGCAGCCTGCCACCCAACAACAGTGATTTATTATGTTTATTACTCAAAATCAATCCGCAAAAAAGACAGAAAAGCATTTCTTCTTATGGTGCTTCACGTTTGAGCATATGAATAATAATAAAATTAATAGTGTCCTAAAAATAAAGCAAAAGTCTTTGGATCAGCTTAAAAGCTTCCGAGCTCTGAAGTACCTCCCATATTTGCTCCCTGCAATCCGGAAACTACATATTTAGTACAATTTTCACCAACGTTGGGACTGAAAAATGTCAATCGACGGATGAATTTATTACCTGTACACTGGTTGCATTTCCTGGGCAATTCCGATCACTGCGCCAGGCGGGAACTGTCCAAATTCCTCAAACAAGTCCTTGATATTGCTCCTGAATTTCAGGTCCAAATCCAGCTGCACAATGTGCTTCATGTCTGCAGGGAAATGTAGAAAATGAGGGAAAGCAAATGTGCCCTCTCATACAGACATGCCGAAACAGTACAGAAATTCGTTCTTTGGTGCACCATGATCATTTGCTCTAGTTGAGGAAAGCTATTTTCATTTACATTTCTGTGATATTATCTGTATGCATTCAATAATTAAAAATAAAGAATTTAAAAATTCACATATATATATATATATATATATATATAAACATGAAATGTCTGATGTGTTGACCAAATGGAAAATTCCCCATTCTTGTAACCTTTATTTCTAGGAAAGTATCGTGTAATAATGTTCAGAACTGGGTCCTGCTCAGTACTCTGCTGTCAGTAGCTAACTGAAACAGTATTAGTATTCCATGACCTAAATGTTAGACTAATATTACACAACAAACACATTTACACATGACATAAAGAACAGTTTATACTATGAAAAACTAACACTGTTCTTGATCTACATTTATTTAAATTAATTTATTTAACAGACATTTTTATCCAACGTGATACGCAAGTGCTAGTCCATAGAGTAATTGGTGGTTGAGTACCTTAATCAAGGGCCCAATGGAGACATCATTCTGCCAACCACAGGATTTGAACCAATGACCTTCCAACCCACAAAACCATACACGGTTAACTCCATAAATAGCTAATCACTGACTGTTATTTAGCAAAATTAATTAGACATAACTTTGTCGTAACAGTCTGAGCCATTGTATAATCACTAGGGCTGTCAAAATTAACGGGTTAACGCGGATTAATCCATCATCTTGATTAATCAGATTAAAATGTTTAACGCAATTAACCCATCTGCAGCGCAGAATGACTCAAAATCCCTGAAATGTCTCTGTCAACCCATTTCGGGCAGTTTTGGTGCGTTCCATTTGCCCTGGGAACTCGTATTCTGAGTCGGATTCTGAGTTTTGAAGCCGGAAGTGACGACATGCGCGCTCCCCTTTCTCGGAGATCCAAGAAATATCTCGGACAGCACAGAGGATCCTGAGTTCAGAATATAAGATTGCTGCGCCTTTTATCAACAGAAGGGAAAGTTGTAGTTTTATACTGTTTAAGCACTACTTCTCATTTGTGGCATATTAAATCAGTCGCACACACTATACCGTCCAACTTATTTGTGGACATGTTGCTACGGAGTTTTATACGTAAAGCACTGCACGTAGTGTGTTATCAACTGATATTGCCAACAATGGAAATTAACCAGGCTAGAATTGGATTTCATGATTAGTTGGTTTATTTGTCGGATTTACGGTAGTTCGGGCTAATTGTAAGTGAACGAAGATAAAGACTGTCCGGCTAAGCAAAAAATCTTGCTTTTTTTATATGGGTCCATGGTATTGCACTTCTGTGGCAGATGGAATGCACCTGACTCGTGTTCAAGATGTTCAATAAACATGTTAAGTGCATATATATTTTCTTTTTTCTTGAGTCTGTTTTGCTCATGCAAAATGAAATGTGATTAATATAGATTAAAAATGAATGATATTTAATCATGATTAATCTAAATTAATCCGTGATTAATCTGATTTAAAAATTTAATCGTTTGACAGCACTAATAATCACTATTGTTTTATGTTGGGGAAAATCTTCAAATATTGTTTTTTGGGTCAGTCCTACAGCTATTATTTTACTACATGCAATTAACATTTACAGACAATAAAATAATTTGAAGTGCTGGTGCAGATATTACTTACACATACTGTAGATTGGGCAGTGTCTTGAAAAACCAACCATTGGGCTCAAAAACAAACTGTTAAAGCAAACCCAAGTCTGAACATCTCCTAGCTGGATAAAAGCAGACATCGGGTAAACTTTGTACAGTGACAGATAGGCTGTTATTTACACCACTTTAGAATGCAGAGATCACTTATAAGGCACAATTTTAGCAGCTGTAGCTGAGAACAACAACAGTGTGACAAGCAGTTGCGTCTCCCTCAAATGTCTGCTTTCCTGTGACTCATGCCCAGGGTCAGACTTTGTCTCGCTCATTCACAGAATTTTGCAGAACTATGCTAATTTAGTTCTGTAAGTCTTGGTCTTTTCTCTAAACATTTGCACTATCAGCACAGATGAGATGGCAGCTGTTATTAGACACCAAGCCCTGCTTTGGCAGAGGGTGTATTTGGGTCTTGTCCAGCTCTATTTTTCAAGATATATAAGTGTACATCCCATAAGTTATGTGTACATAAGTTATAAGTGTACATCCCAGCTTGAATTAAGAGCAAATTATCTAGAGAGCCAAGTTCATTTAAAGGAGTATTAGATAATTTTAAAATTGTATTGCATAACCTAACTGTACTTATTTATCCTAGCAAAAAAAAAAAACAGAAATATGCAGGTTACTATTGATAAAAGGGAAATAGCATTTAGATTTAACCTTCACACACATGTGAGTTGGACTCACCCTAAAGAATAGTTAGAATATTATTGACAACAAGACAAAAAAACTATACATAAGCGGTGTGACCACTGTTAAATAGGGTGCTTCATAATTAGTTAATTTTTGCTCAATCTTAATAATTTAATCATTAATACACAATTAGTTTAGTTAAACTTCGAAATTACAGATCATTACAAACCAGAATAAAGCTCAAAAAGCATAAATATACAGCTCCTCCCCCATATTTTTTTACAATTAACAAAGATGTCAAAGATGAGTTGGATATGGGGACCTACTTTAGCAGAGAGACTGGCTCTTACAGCCGTGGTTTAAAAAAGCAACTCATCCCCTTAGACTGGATTCCTTTGCTAACTACAACAAATTCTAGTTCTGCTTACTGATCAGGTGACGTTTGTAAGAATTAAATCAGCTCTGGGGAAAATAAAGGAAACCGGCACACAGGAAACACTTATTTTAAGATTGGGAATTAAGCCTCACACTTAGTATACTGCATGACAGATGCACATAGATGCTCATAATCTTATTTTAGAAAGTGGGACAAACGTGTCAGTAAATAGTTCCTTTCCAACCATCGTTAATTCCTATCAAAGGGGCCTTTTCCAGGACATGGCAAAAGGCTCTGCCCTAAGCGGTCGGAAGCCACAATGGCTGAGCGAGGAAGCATGGAAAAGCGGCTTGAGAAGACAGGAACACTGGAAGGTATCTACAGTTGGGGGGCGTCTCCAAGACACCAATGGATACGCTATTAGCCGCCGTTCCAGTTACTAGGCACAGGCCTCCCTGGGTTAGACTTCATGACTATTGCTGTTAATTGCTAAACATTTCTCAGACTCTGCATGTTTCCCTTCTGCTTACAGAGTTAGCGAAATGCTACACATCACATGACTGTAATCCTCAGCTAAAATCCCAAACACTCCAGCTTGTGCAGACAGCTGCTCAACTCTTATCATTTTTGTAATTATGAGGTTCTTAATCAACGTCAAGTAACAAACCGCATTTATAGGGTATAATGTGTGTAATCTCTCTGAACAGAGGTGATTTATTAAGGGGGCGTGTCCAACACGCTGCATTACTCCAGTAAATTTCAAAAACAGTCAATTGGATTAATATTAAATGTGCTGACACATGGAACAGTTCATAGGAAGGGTATTTAATCAAGGAGTAAAGTGAACTGAAGGCTGATTTTTACTTCTGCATTCAATCGACGCTGTAAGTACGACATAGCCGTGGACCTTACGCCGAAGCATATGCTGTAGCCCGACATGTGCTTCCCGAGAAATGTAATTACATACGGCAGTGACACAGACCGCAAGAACTGTGATTGGTCCGCTTGGCAGCATTTGTTTTCTTTATGTGAGCGAAGAAAGCACACATCCCAGGTGTACTGTCACTGACTGAAACCGACACGTTATTTTATGTCTAGCATTAAATAACCCACCCTAGGCTTCATAGCAATAGGTCTACGAAACACTCAGCATGACAGCACCAATTCCACTTACCTCCATTAAGTTTATTTGTACTTTACAAGACTAAAAAAATAAATATAGACACTAACTTTAGAAGGGAAGATGCATAAAAAGTCACTTTGTAGCGGCACAACATTTTTCCAAATTTGTCTATGGAAAGTTTGGAGAAGCACAAATGTAACCAGGACTCGAAAATGGATTCTTTGTTAGATCTTTGCTTTTTTCTGTTCAAAACCTGTGATTTAACAATTGAATATGTCACAGGGTGGGAAGACAATAAACGCAACATCCAAAACTATGCGTCACCTAGTGTTTTGGCGGTGTAACTGCAGAGCAACACAAACACACCGATGCACAAGTATAAATGCTCGCAACGGTGTAGGTCACCTGCGTAGGTCATAGCGTAGGCTCAACGCAGAGGTATAAATGGTGTTACAGTAGCAAGAGGTTAGAACAATTGTGTCATCTGATCTCCCTTTGTGACTTTGCAAAGACGAGATCCTGGTCTTGACAAGATTATTACCCAAAGTCAGGGTTTTATGAGGAAACCTATTTCACGTACGACTTTTGGCAGACTGTCAAACATAGAGACAAGCGACACACAATTTAAAGAGTGCTTTGTTCAACAGCTAGGTTGCTTTTTTAGAGCAAAGTCTCTCTGTGGAATTAAACCTCAAGAACAATGTAAAAAGAGAAAGGCAGCTGGTGCAGGTGTTTGGTCTATAAGGGAATCAGGCGTCACTGGTTTAGTGTTTTCCTTATGTGACCAAAAAAAAGTTCAACCTTGCTGCCTTTCACAGCCTTTATGGACAGTCACCCATCTCCATCAAGAGGTTCCTTAAGACCTGTATCTCATCTCTCCTGGCCAGTAAACGCTTAGAGATCCTTCCACCACGTGAGAGGTCTCACTCCAGAAACTTGGCAGATGTGGTTCTTTGATGGTAGGATGAGCTGCTTATCCACATTCATATCCCATTAGATTCCCTCTTCACTTTCAAGAAATGCCTGAAGACCCATCAGTTCCAGAAATTCCTCTACTAGCTTACGCTAGCTTATCCCTGAATGCTCTTGGTGTTGAACTCTCTCTGCTGATATAAATAGTTGTTTTACTAGGTTCTTGCTATTATTGAAAGGTATCGCAGTGTTTCCCCTACCATTATATTAGGGGGGCGCCCCGCCCCGCTCCCCCCAACGGCACCTCCCGCCCCCCCCTCCCCTTGAAGGTCAAGTTAATTTTATTTAATTTTCTATATAGTGCCAGATCACAACAGAAGTCATTTAAGGCTACCTTTCCTATAGAACAGCTCTAGACATTGTCCTAAACAAACTAAATAGCCTTATGGTATTTATCTTATTTACACAACAGCTTGTTATTTTTGTCTCTACACGGTCGCACGTTTACAATTCTCCTCTGCTCCCTGTATGACACATGGCGGAGTTCTGCCCCGATGCGCGCGCACAGACACGTGTGCGCACACACAGGTGAGCACACTCCCACCAGTGGACAGAGAGCGTGCGTCGGAAAATGTGTCGCGTCAACCAAAAGCTGCACACTTTGTGAATAATTGTCATAAAAAGAAATGTTCTGATGTTTAGTTCAATTGTTATATTGACTGCTGTCATTAAAAGAAACACATGAACACCATGAATCCTGTCGGTGTCCATCTGCCCCCCCCCCCCCACCACAAAAAGCTGTAAACCTAGGGGAAACACTGTATTGTATTTCTGATCACTGATTACACACTGATTACCTGGTCATTCATTGGAAGCTCAGTCTAGCTGTATTTGTGCTAGCTGACACCTTGACAGCACGTGCTATTTGCCTCACTTGCACATCACTTTGGACAAAAGCATCCACTAACTAAAGTAAATGTCAATATAAATGCTCATTATTATTAAAATGCATTTTAATTACTAAGCATAGCAATGGCTTGGATTTCGTAATTTTATAATTGAGCTCTTTCATAGCTTATTAGCTACGGTACTCTTATGAAGCACATGAAGCAGGAGGTGAGAGCTGAACTTGAAGCAGGGTGCTCACAGCTGAACCTCCTCTCCTGTGACCACCAGGCCTCAGCTTTCCTAAAACACCCCACACTTCCTTAAAATGACCATCAGGATTCTGCTGAAGCGGTAAGTAAAAGCACTAATGTAATTTAAAAGCAGAACCCTTTTACCAGTTAGGGCTGTTCACAGTTGTAAGGAAATGTCACATGACATGAGCTCGGGGGTGGGGCTTACCTTCAGGCACTATGCGATGCATGGCCACCGACAGGAAGAAGATGGCGTCGCTGTAGTAGGCCCCTGAGCCAGCGCTGAAGTGCAGCTGCATGGCCTTCACAATGGGGAAGAGCTTCTCTGTCAGCTCGGTGACATCGTGGAACTCCACCTGCATGGGCAGCCATGGTGAGGACATGGTAAGGACATAACTATCTGCTGATTTCTATGGAAGGTCCACCTCCGGTGTAGTTAAAGACCCTATACTGTATATCACTGACACAAAATCTCCGCATGAGTTTCACACCCGGTCTACCACCCCCTCAGCAGTACAGGAGGTCCGAGTATGTTCCTGCTCCCAAATCGCGTGGGGTCGCTGCACGCCTTTCTCACACTGCTGGGTCAGGGCTCTCACATGCCCCCCTCCCCCCTTTGGAAATCACCCCCGCTGCCCATAGACTGGAGGGGGTATTCCTGAAGGACACTGTGATATGGAGAAACAACCACTGACATAATGCAATCGAATAAGCTAAGGAAGGATCATGTGCGCTATGCCTCTCCCTCGTAAATGCATCTCTCTGTTACTCATTTACTCTAACATTCAGGATCTGATACGATGTCACCGCTGGGCGCTTGAGCAAAGCCCTTAACCCGAATTGCTCCAGGGGCTGGCTGTTATAATGTAATGATACAGAATCAGGGGCATACCTAAAAATGCTGAGCTTACTAACAAGATGTCACATTGGCCCCCACGTCCGATTTTACAAATCCTGTTAACCGCTGGGCCCCCGTAATCTGCCCTCTGACTTTTCTCCATAGAATTTTCATATACTGCAGTTTGATAATTGATAGTTGAATAAATTTTCCATATAGGTTGCACTTTCTCTGCATTAATACAGGCATCATATTTCTCAGCCTGCGTTAATGTCACTCTCCTTGACAACATGTCCATTTTAAGTGGCCATTTGCAGAGATCCCCAAGTATATCTGAGGTGTTGGAAACAGCCTGCACCTCTGCAGCCTCAGCCACAATGAGAGGGCACTCTTCCTCACAGAAAGATCAGAGAACACAGCAAGACAATCATTGCACATGTCCTTTGCCACTGAGAATATTCTGATTTAGAAGCAGTGTCTGGTCAAAATCTTAAAGCATTTGGAAACCACTGAGGGGAGCTAACATCTCAGCCGGCCTGCAGCGAAACACGACCCCTTCAGTGCCTGTAATTAGTGTATGGATGTGTGTTTGTCAGAAAACAAGCATGCAGATCCACTTCACATGTCAAGCGGGAGGGCGAAGACAGGTTCCAGATAGCTGGATAGACTGATCTTGTGGAGGCTACATTTGAAGACTCATAAAAGCAAGGATGAGTGTGTCAGATCTGTAATAGGGCTCTTCAGCCAAATAACAGCCAGAAACCAATCGAAAGACTGGAGTCACCTTGTCCTTAGCAATCTTATAGATAGTTATATTTTGCTAGTAAACCACAGTAATGCACTCACTGGGGTGAAGTCCTGTGACACGTGTGTCAATCTTATTAAACAGATGATGATGATGATAATTAATGCACGAGGATGAAGAGAATACCATACTGGTTAGATATTCAAATGAGACATTGTTAAATCCTATCAAAACATAAAGCGAAATAAAATTAATTCAACACTTTAGCTTGAAATAGCTCCTGTGGGCCCACCACCTGCAGAGGGGCGTTTACCCCAGTGAACGAGAGGGTCGCCTCCCTTCGACTTCGAGTCGGGGGACGGGCTCTGGCTGTTGTCTGTGCTTATGCCCCCAACATCAGTTCAGAGTACCTGGCATTCTTTAAAACCTTGGCTGGGGTGCTGGAAGGCATCCCCTCTGGGGACTCCATTGTCCTACTGGGGGACTTTAATGCTCACATGGGTAATGGCAGTGACACCAGGAGGGGTGTGATTGGTCAGAATGGCCTACCCGATCTGAACCCGAGCGCTGCTCTCTTATTGGACTTCTGTGCTAATCACAATCTGCCCATAACGAGTACCATGTTCGAGCAGAAAATTGTTCATAAGGGTACTTGGCACCAGTAACACTAAATAAAATGATATCCAATATTTGTTTGCATAATGCAGAAAAATTACTGCTTCCAAATAGCACACATGAGTTTTCCCGTACTCACTTCTCCATGGAGCAGACCTGATTTACATGCGATACTGCTTGGATACTTATATACATTTCCATTTAACCCAGCTTCTTTTTTTTCCTCAAGAGAATATAACAATGAAAGGAAAAAGTATGGTTTACACAGGTGTTATTTTTAAAATTACTGTGGAAGTGAATCATAAAACAGAGACAGAAACCACAACAGACTTCCTGCCACCTTGGAGACGTGCCACACCACAGAATTTCACACAGACCAGCATTCAACAGTGGGAGCACAGTCTGGCGACCCAGACTGCAGACTTGAACTATTTGGAAGATCAGTTTATAACATCTTAATTAGTGTGAAATCTTGGATATGTCTGTAGCAGAGCTGGGGGCTGAGAACAAGGCCTGTTTTTCATGTTTGCTGTCTGGCTGCTCTAGTTCCCACAACTTTCTTAATCATACTTATCTTAATGTTCCCTGTCATGTATGGTGGAAATTTTTATATAGCCAACCCTCTCTGTGTTTTTGAAGTACATTTCAAAGTTAACATGCATTGAATCGTTTAAAATTATGTAACAGAAGGCACATTTTAATGACAAAGTTGTCACCTGATCCTTTTTGTTTACAAGTTACTCAAGCACTGTCACCTTCTGGCTAACTTAGTTACATTAAGAAAGCAATATGAGTTTTATAGTTCCTGAAAAAGTCGAACTAGTGCCACAATGTATTGACTTTATGTTAGAGACACACTCATATTTTATCTTTTACTTAAATTTATTAAAACACACATTTATCCTTTCTTTCTCTCTCTCTTTCTCTATCTCTCTCTCTCACACACACACACACACACACACACAAAGAAAGAGAAAGAGAGAGAGACCTGTACTCATATCTTTTTGGGAACTTTCCATTCATTTCTATGGGCATACCCCTCAGCCCGACAATAGCAACCTTAACCCCTACCCAGCCATAACCTTAGCCATAACTAGCCAAACAAAATCGAAGGCTTTTGGCATTTTTAGTTTTTTGACTGCAGTCACACATTTTTATAAAATTGAGTTTCCCCTTGTGGGGACCGGAAATGGTCCCTGCGAAGTCAAAATAACATAACCTGTTTTTATCACACTATGGACACACGGACACACACACACACACACACACACACACACACACACACAGGTACTTTTCTCCATTTCAGTGCTGGGCTTCAATCCTATACCCTGTATATTCAGTAGAACGGAGTCGTCCATATTCCATAACAGCTTATCCCATACTGGATGACAATGAGCCTGTCCGAGGCAGGGGGACATACTGGGCAGGATGACAGACCATCAGAGGGTACATACCCCACACAAGGCACACGACTGGCAATTTAAAGGCACTGGACCGCCGATACCCTCACTGGGACAAGGGAAGAACTCGCAAATTCCCCACACACACCCTGACAGTTCTGGAGGTGTCAGACCACAGTCCAGGCACTGAGCCATCATGCATCTTAGAAGAAAGCACATAGTGTAATGTCCTCTCTACAATCATGATGCTAGAACATCTACACATCCACAAGTCCAAGGCCAGCTAAAATAAACACAACACAAAGGCACATGTTAGGAGGAGAGCACATATTAATAATGCAAAATAAAAACTCAAAAAATCCTGTAACCAAGCAAAGTCTCTTTAAATCATTTTTAATGAATGTATCCTGAAGTTTTGCAAAACCACAACTCTTGACAGTGTCATTACAACACTAACATAGGTACTGTCCAGATATTATCAGTCAAATTTGAGCTGTACTAGCATCCCATCCAACTACAGCTGTTTCTTACAAACGGCTCTGGAAAAAAATAAATATTGCTGTATATTTTTTTTAAATCTGCATTTTTAAATCCTGGTTTAATCCTGGTTCTGCTGGCAGAAGGATACACTGCAAGGCAGGCTGCTTCCAGGCTCAAAGCTTCAGTACTGCAGTACACAAAAGCAAGGTGAAGCAGGAGACACTGGCAATAACAAAAAACCAGCCAAGTACAGGGTAGCTTTCTAATGCCAGAGATGACCATCAACTTATCCGGCAGTGCCCCACAAATTGGTGCATGACCTCAAGTGACCTTCAGAAAGAATGGGAAACATTAAATGGTGTGAAGTGCACTGCTAGGGCAATTCATAACAGGCTCCTAGAAGCAGGACTGAAGACCCACAAAGCAAAACCCTTGGTCAATGAGAAGCAAGGGAGCCAGGCAAAAAAAATGTATATCTTACACAGGTGCATACCTATAAATTGAGAAATGAGTGAAACTGAACATTACAAACTTACAATGCAGTTATATTTATTCTCTTGTGTGATAATCACCACCAAATATGGGTTTTTATTTTACTTAATAACACATGGTGCTTTGAAAGAGGGTTTTTTCTGCTGCTGCTACAGAGATGAAGTTCTACCTGTTGCAGTCCAGCCATTGCTGTCCTCGTGTCACCATGAGGCAGGCGTAGACAAAGGCCATATTAACCTATGCATTTATGAGTCACATGACAGATAAGAAGCTGATTAACAAAGTAGGTGCCACAGCTAGTTTAAAGCCCCAGCCTGCTGCCAGAGTGCAGTGACGTCATCAGCCTTGCAGAGCTCGACTTGTGGCAACATCAGGAAGGCATCCTGGACCTGACGGCATCTCCGGGCGCCTGCTACGCTGCTGCGCCAACCAGCTGACCAGAGTATTCACTTACATCTTCAATGAGTCTCTGGCTCAGTCTATGGT